TGATCCAACGTAGGGAGATGGGTGTAGCAGACCTTGGCCGCCGGGAGGGCGGCTGGGAACGCGGTTCGAAGACGCTTTTGCTGTGGTTCCCAAGCACTACAGTATTTATTAGCGGTGGCTGCTATGGGGCCACATGTATACCACGAATAGCGGCTCATGACCACCGCCGGGAGTCGTACTTGATGCGATGCTTGTCTGTTAGTCCGCATCCGAGTCGTCAATTAACCTGATTTAATCATCCGTGTTGGACGTTGGCATGCTCATTACTCGAAAATTTGGCTAGCTACTGGAGTCGTTGGTTGCCCCTGCTCTTCCCACGTGCCGAATTCTTCTGTCAGGACAAAGTCTTAGCACAGAATATTGGAGCGGGGGTCCCTGTGCTTGTTTATGGATTGCGGGCCTCCACCATCCCTGTGCTAGACGTTGTTGGATGGTGGCTTCCAATAAAACTTCGAAACAGTCCAATAAGCCGCTTGCGCTTGCGATCGCATCTTCCTCTTTTGAACGATTTCCTTGAACTTGCCTTTTCGCTTCTATAGACAATTCAATAATTTAAGATTTTGTTTATCACAACCACGGCTAGCAAGGCATCGGTCCTGACTCAGTAGTAAAATTGTTGTGTTGTAAATTACTCGAATCTGCATTCATGTATGGGGATTCTACGAGTATTGGGTAATAACATAAAGTAGGGAAGATGGAACTTTTTCTGTTCCCCATGTTTGCACCAGCTGACAGGTTTATTAACTGCTAGTCAACATTACATTTTGGAGACGTCTAGCATGGAGTTCCATACAAAATGGGGCACCTATACGGCTCACTGTAGTTCAGTGGGTTAAAAACTCAGATCTTCCTAATTTCAAGCTAGCGATCACTGGTAAAGAAGTTCGGACAAGTGAACTTCAACTTTAAGGTCACTGAATCCGTGTCTAACTCAGACGTCTGTTTGGTCTAGGTTGAAGTGGTTATAGGCTAGCCGATGCGGGTAAGACATGTGAAAACTAGCAGTTTACTTATCCGCCTCTGTCTATAGAAAATTGTGTTATTGTTTGGTTTTTCCTATTCAGCCGCCATTTGGGCAGGACACCGTCACAGTAGGTTAGTGCCCTTCGGGGTTTTCAAGTAGAACGTGGGCCTTTCAATCCGACCTAGATCGTTTGATTGTAAAACGGAGGTTCAACCCTAAGCATTTCCGGTGTAGAATATAGGACAGATTAATGACAACGCCAGGAAAAATATACAAACTCTCAGTAACCCGGATTACTGATAACTGTTCGTTAGATTACCGGCAGATATTTAAGTGGTCTCACGAACTGTCTGTGTAGCAATTCAAATATTGGCCTTAATGTCTACGCGCGTGTCTGGCACTCGGAGTTGCTAGGACATTGAATGAGGGCCTGCCCGCTTTATTTATGGAGGCTATTAATCCGTCTAGATGTTCGTGACAGCCTGTACACCATAAGAAGCTGTGTGGTATGAGGCGTTGGGATAATACCACGAAAAGCATTAAACGAAGACTAAACTAAACTAAATAAGCTGCCGTAGGTACGCGTGCATTCGAGGCGACATCATAAATGGATCAGGATGTAAGGGGAACGCACGAAACTTACGCCATCTTCTATAGTGAGGCGAGATCCGAGAACAGCTTACTGAATGCTTTCGACGGCAACCGGCAGAGGCTCGAATCTTGGTATGTTACTGAAAACTGCGGGTCCCACCCACAAGTCTTTCTGGCGTGACCAAGACAACTGGCCGGCCGATGAGGACGAGGGAATAGTACAACTACTGGACTCCATCTTTTCGAGTTATTTACACTGTCTCTGTGCGGTCGCTCGTAAAGATCCTTAACTACAACAAAAAAGGCGCCTGAATTTCCTACTACCCGGTGGGGCCCGTGAATGTCAGCCTTTGACGACTTGAAGTATCCTTAATGTATTATCGGTTATACTTATGAAAATTGTCTTCAAGCAGATGTCACCGGTAGAGGTTGAATCATCAGAAGGATCTTTAAAGTAGCGCTTACAGGAGTTCTGTCGACCAATTATTTATAAAGACACTATGAGGTCTCCGTTTATTTTTATTCACAGGAATGAAATAACATCACAATCTTGTGATCATTCGGTAGTATCAGGAGAAATAATAGGGGGAAAAGTACACAATAAAATAATCTCATCAAGTCAAGGGCGTTTGCAAGGCCAATAAAAATAGGGGGCTCAATGCATGCATTACACCGCAGGTCCAGTGATCGTACATAAACAACAGGTAGATGACCAGAGTGAAGCAGGAGGGAGTAGGTGTTGAAATACACAGCATCTCCCAAAAGCAGGCTTTACGAGATAGAGGAAAAAGGAACCGAGAGGATAAATCGAAACAGCAGAGCTTGGTTTTGTCTCCTGAACGGTAAAAATGGACAAAGGCTTGGGTGCTTTGTTGTGGGTTTTTGGACAAATCTGATTTGCAGGCTTATCTGAAGAAAGTAATCGAAGAGTAAACTAAAGTGACTGAAATTTTCGCGTTTATACGGTCATGTGGCCTGCCGCTTTCGTCGGTTAATAAGTTCACGCAGGGCAAAATCGGGATATGCAGACTTGAAGTCCCCAATGAAGTCAAGGACATCCCGATCCTTTTTAATGTCGTAGTGGCTGTAAGCAAAAAGAAAACATATTAATGCACACAATTATTACTACTCGCTACACAAAAGTAAACACGATTATTTGATCTAAACATACGCGGCCCGAGTGTCGCTGTTTTCCTGCTTCACGAAGAAATCTATAATGAGGAAATGCTTCCAGCAGCGCCAGAAATTGACAATTGGTCCATGCGCCTCCTGATATGTGGCCGCCATGGCTTCGGGCACCTTAGACAGGAATACAGGATTCACCTGGTCCAGGACAATCAAGTTCTGAAGTGTCAGGCCGAGGTACGGAATAAGGGGCGGGGAGGATTCGGCCAGTTCGCGGCGATAGGTTGAGAAGTGCGGCGGCTGCATGTACGGACGAAGTCTCGTCAGTCGCTGAAAAGAGATAGAACTTTATGTGGATCTGATACAATTACAGCATTAAGTAATACAAATGTCGATTAAGGACTTTTGAATTGCTGTTTAGGTTCGGCTTAGGACACAGGCGTCTCGACAAAATTCCAACGCTCCCCCCTCCCCCAGAAAACTCAAAAAGATACGTTTCATAAAATGCCTTTTGTATTGGATACCTAAGAAAAACCCGTAATCAGCATGTTAAGAATGATTAACGATACTATACAAAATATGTGAATGGTATTAAAGGAACGAATAATTAAAACAATAGGGAAGATTGGACGTCTCTTTCGGGCATATTTTCATCACCAGCCAGCCGCACCTGATTTCAGCTCTGGAAAACTAAGGATTAATATTCGGACGGTCAATAATCATCATGCAATTGTTTGCGGGAACTTTAGATCGGGTCTCTAGGCGCAACGGGCCATGCATGTACCGTAGCCAGTCGATGGTCCCCAGACTATGCTCAGATATAGAATAATTATAGTGTAGCGGTCTAAGTAGTGGGTGTACTCAGATCACCACAATCATCAGGCCGAATCCCAAGTCGGAAGTTAAAAGGCAAGAGTCACCAGAAGGAGCGGTTTATTGTATACAGAAGTCCCAGTTGCTGTCTCAGGTGGCAGCGGCCACTGGCGATGCCAGGGCCATTGTTGACTGCGTCCAGCCAGGCCTAAGAGCG